TTTTTGTTTTCTTGTTTGTTTGTTTTGGAAAGCCAGCTAGCTCCACCTTTTAAGGGCCTCGCAGACATTTCCTCTGGGGTTCTGTAAAGTGAATGCTCGCAATGACACTACAGGATTGAAAGATTCCTAGATTTCCACTTCTTGTGATTATCCATAGGTAAGACCACAAGAGACTTTCGACATCTAGATGACTTCTTTTCACTGAGACAGAACTATATATGCTTAAAATGACCAAGAAAGTATTCACTGAATCTTTTACTCTATCTGGATAGCCTGTATTCTTTCTCTATTTTCTTTTTGGATTTAACAAACTCCATTCCTGTAATTGTTCCTCATAATTTATGCTTTTTAAATGTGTTAGCGTTTGGTTGCTCTTCAGGACTCTAGTTTTCCAGTTCCTAGGAAGTCTAGCATTCAGGTAAAGTTTTGTAGCCACTCATTTCAGAAGTGACAAGTAGAAAAGCCAGATACAGCATTGCTTTTAGTTAACTTAAGAAATGAATTACCATTTTGCCATAATCTAATTTGGTTCACTACTGAGTGACTTGTATTTTCTGTGGATTATTTGTCACTACTACTGCTTAGTGAGGTTTTTTCTCTGTTTTATACTGAGCCAAATGCTTTGACCAACCATTTCCTCCCCCTCTTATACCTTTGACCCTGTTCTCTTCAAAGCGGAGTTTATTGTGGCAGCAAAAACCAAGTTGGCACCAGAAGATTCTTTGAGACAAAAAAAACAGAGTATGGGAATTGTAGTTCACAGGAGGAAAAATTGCTTGTAGGAGTTAAAAGATGAAGAAATGGGGCAGATGTTGGAGCCTTTCTCTGTGTTACGGGAAGGCTGTTTTGAGGTCAGTCAAATTACCAGCTGTGTGTTCTGTGAATATTACTGCATATGTAGATTACTGAAAAATATCCCTGGACTCTTATCACAGCAGTGTATTTTAGCGAAGGGGAGGGAAGAAGCTACCAGCTTATTATTTATTGAACACCTAACAAACGCATTATGGACTGGAAATGATATCAAGCCGTTGATGCCATTACAGTCAGAGAGAAAATGAATTTTAAAGCCTCGTATATCTGATTGTATTTTACTACAGACATAGTTCAGAATTCAAGCAAACTTATTTTATCAATACATTCTGTACCTCAACCATATATTTCTTTTTGTTTCTGTCAGTATGTACTGTTTCCTTTCGAAAGCTGAAAACTATTTTCATGTCACTTGTCCAAATTAAAATTTTCTTTGTGGATCATTTCTATCTAGATCTGCATTAATTATGAGTAGTTAATGTTGCACTCTATTGAAAGAGATAAGTGGCAACATATCTAACCTTTGAAGAGCTTACTATCTCTTAATACAGTTTAAAAGGTCTTTTGTGCATTTTTTTCTTTTTTAAGTATAAAAAACTTAAATTTTCTTGCAAGGCTAATGAGGCAGCTCTCTACAAGAAATCATTACAAAATTAATTGATTTATCATTATTCCAAAAGTGTCGCGTGCACTATTCAGACCAGTGGCTGCTACAAGCTATAAGGAATGAGTATAAAGTATTAACAGCTAAGTTTGATAGCCTGGCTTCATAATCTATTTTATTAGTTTTTAACTGAGGGTTTTTTTGTTTTTTGTTTTGTTTTGTTTTTTGGTTTTGGTCTACAACTGTGCCCTCATCTGGAAAATCTGGAAAAATTAGACTAATGCAACTTTCAAAAAGCTGTTAAGATTTCTAATACTAAAATGGCTCTGTATCTTAGTTAAGTAGCATGAGCCATCTTGTCCTGCGATCATGAAATGAGGTAAGGTTAGACTGTGTCTTACAGTTGTAGAACTCCCAAGGAAGCCCTAAGTGTTCCAGGAAGCATAGAGCTTCAGTCAATAGGTGGCACTTTTGTCAAGGAATCTCTACCAGCGTCTTCTGTGGTGCTGTCTACGCTAAAGCTGTTTAAAACTAGTGGAAAAATGATAGTAAGCCAGCTGCAATTGTCAAATATTTAATTCAGCTAGGAGCTTGTAGCTTCCTGAAAGACCTGACAGACTGTGGGGACCTGCATGGTCATCTACTTTTTCCAACTACATCGCATCTAGGAACTACACTAAAGTACATTATGTAGTTGATCCAATGAAATGTGTTTTTCCTGTCTTGTTGAGCCCTTCTTTCTTTAAAGATCTTGTTTTGTGTGTGACTTCAGGTAACCTGAACAAACGTTATTTGACAGGCAGAAACTATGGCTAATAGTGGCTACAAAACTTGACTCTTTCTCCTTGTAAGGACATAGTCAATATGTTCTTCTTACAGTTAAACTTCTATAATTAACTCTAACTAAAGTTAAGAACAAGCATTATATAAAATGCCCCCCTCAAAAAAATCTGATTTGATGTACAGAGTCCCTAGGAACAGCAAAACTGTCTTTTCATTCTAGGTGTCTGTGACTTTCTCAACTATCTTCAGAAATTAGTCATCTATGCTCCTTGGATTTCAGGAGGAAAGAAATTAAAATAGTGCAGATATATGAGAAGTTAACAAATACCCTTCTCTCAATTTTTAGCTCTGTTATCAAGGTATTTCATTTGTATTCTGTGAAATACAAGCTGTCATTAATAAATCTATGTGGGAAAATTGTAAGCATTTAGATGTGGTGCACCATCATTCTGGCAGTCCTAGGTAACAGTGTTCTTTATCGTATTTTGTTTTCATGAGGATTTATGTACTACCCCAGGTAGGCGAACATTTACTCGTGTGATTATATATAAGCCTAAACATTTAAAGCATCAGCAGAGATGTTTTGATGAACTGAGGCAAAAGGTCTACCCCACTGCAGCTCTCCACTAGATAACAGGATCCTGATCATGGATCTTTCTATCCTTTTCCCAAACACTATTCCAAAAATAATTTCCTCTACCCATTCCAAGAGTTGAATTCTTCTGTATATGAGGATGTTCATATATGAACTAGTGGATGCCAAGTCCCAGCTAGTGACCTGAAGATCAAAGTATCTTAAAAAAAACGTTTGTAACGAATATGAAAATCAAACCAGAAGAGGGCTCTGCGTTCATATCTATATGAAAAAAAAAATGTCAGGCACGACAAGTAATATAATTCATTAAGTATTATATTCAGTATCATTAGAGACTATGTTACTGGGATAACCACAGCTTAAATGCCTTTCTGTTAGCACCTAAGTTTTCAATCCTACTACTTCTTTGAAGCCATTCAGTAATTGTCACTTTAGCACCCCTCAGTGATTTCTAATCAAATGTGGAGAATAAACTCAAGTGAAAAAAACTTGCCATTCAATCTTCATTCAGTGCTCAGGTTTGCGTGGGAACAGGAGGAGAATATTTGTTTTTTCTCTCAGTATCTGTAATATATATATATACTGTGTTGATTAGAAGGAATTGATTCTTTTTATGCTGCATTTTTGGTTTTCCATATCAAGTGGCTTGAATTGTCACATTAATTAGGCCATACAGGTCTGCATTTCATTTCATGACTAGATCTGTGATCTTGTGCCTATTGTTCGTTCAATCCATCTATATTAGGCAAACATATATTTGTTTTATTTTTACTTTCTTCTAATTTACATCACCACAAGTTCTTGAATTACTATTATTATTTAATAAATTATTTTAATAAAATGTATTACAAATAATAAACACTATAAATAAAATTAATTTTAATTTAAATAATAATATGCATTTCTGAAGAATTTCAGTAAATGTATATAAAAAAATTGGTAAAGTATCATGTTTTTGTGTTTCCTCAATGGATGTTGCATCTCTTCTGTTGCATCTCTTGTTCTGCTTCCTAAGTCTATATGAAGTGATTTTTTTTCTGTACTTTCTAAAAATTTGGTTTATCATAGATAAAAATTGGCTGTTCGTTTATTTGTGGAAAATTGACAAGATTATTTAAATTTGGTTGATTTAATTTACTCTTTTTAATGCTTTTAACAACTGCAAGACAGTAGCTACAGTTTTATGAAGGTGTAATATAGAGCTAGTGTTTCAGATTTGTATCTGAGACAGAAAAAAGACTGGCAATTGAAAATGGTTTCAGAGATGTTAGCGTATATCACAATGAAATAGAGGAGAAAATCACAGGAAAAAAAAAACTCTAAACAAGCTGTTTTGATTTCTCAAAGCAAAGCAAAGTTTAACCTAAGCTTTGTATTTAGATAGCTCTTAAAAGTATTGATTCAGTTTTATTTCCCCCAGTCATTCATTTAGATTCAATATCATACCTGGAAGAAAAATGAAATTTTATATTTATTTTGTATTTAGTGTGTAAGACTTGGATTCTGTTAACTTTCATTGGTGCTAGCTGTCTACTCATCTTTGGGCATCTTTCTTTTTCTTCTTCAGTTTCCTTGTTAAAAATAAATACATAGGCTGGAGAGGTGCGGTGGGAAGCAGAGAAGGGTAATAATACGTAAGTTAGCTAGCACTTGGCAAAGTTAAGTGAATGAATTTTCATCTTGGAGTCCTTGGACTTCCTAGGAGCAATCCATGTATAGTTTCTAACAGAATACATAGTGAGAAAAACGGGATTGTGTGTGGTGTACAATATTAATGTAGAGAGAATTTCTCAATCAGTCTGTACCTCCAGTGGAATAGTTTGAAAACAGTTGATGTGAAATTATGCTCACAAAAGGTGTCTTAAACACAGTTTCTCAGAAGTTAATATATAGGTATTCTGCAGGAA